GTGAAGGTAGGTGCTAATAGGTGTATCACATATCCCCTCTAGGGTACCTTAGAGTCCCTGGCCATTGCTAGTGCAGCGTGACTCTGCACCATTCCCCAGCAGGCCCATGCTCATTGTGCATTTAAGAAACAAGGCTGAATGAGGTGAGACTCTTCCTCCTCTGCCAATCTTCTCATTCTGAAGCTTAGAAGTCTGGGAGTATCACAGGGAATAAATAGAATTTCCTCCTGCATTAGCATACAGAAGGCGGCCCCCTGAAAGGCCTGTCTCTTCTAATAGGACATCAGTAAGTCTAATGACAAACTTGAGAGGTCCAAAACTGACCAGAGGAGGCCTTAATCAGTTTTACAAAGAAGATGTAGTCTTGGTGCCTCTTAACCTTGAACTGCTCATTCAATAGTTAATCATTAAAAGAAGCAGAACAAAAAGTTTAAATGGTATGTCACATAGGCAATTAGACGTAAAACAAATGCCTATAGCACCCTACTCTCCACATCACACATACTACATATTTGGGGCCATATCTCACTGTTGAAATTACCATTATACCTTTTTTTTTTTGGTAAAATGTTCAATTCAAACTTAAATTATTCTGAAAACTACCATATGTAGAATGCATAATATACAGAGTACCTTTCAGAGAACTAGGTTTCAATAACTGTTGGTAGAAAATACAGGATGATTTTGGATAATAAAAATAAAGAAAATAAAATGTGCCATAAAAATAACCATCTACTTCTGAGAGGCAGTGAAACACAGACTGGGGCCAGTGGCTCTAGGGATACCCAGGCCTGTCACCTCCTACCTCTATGACTTTGTCCAATCTCCTGAAGCTTCCTCTATCTTACTACTCTCATCTGTTAACGTGTACATAATGTTAGTCCTTTCCTCATTGAATGATATGAAGATTAGACCAATTGATTTATGTAAACCACTTTAAACAGTGCAGGGCATATAGTAACCAGCTGATACTATTCTCTGCTATCTTTTCTCTGCTCTTACTATCTTCCTAACATCACACTAAAACAAAACAAAGTAAAACAAAACAAAACAAAATAAAACAAATCTCACAAGCACCTGACCACAAAAGTAATGACTTCCCGAATGGAACAGTTACACACTAAATTCCACAGGTTTTAGCAGAAATCATTTAGGTCTAAAAACTCCTAACTCCATTTCAACACAGCAGAGTAACTGTTCTGAATATGAAAAATAGGTACAAAAACCCCATGTAGGTATATGATTCCCCTGTTATCAGTGAACACAGTTTTTCCCCCTGAAATAGAAATTTCTATAAATTAAAAAAAATATTATAGAAGTATTAGTTATTAAAATTGCCTACCTTCCTATTTGCATCTTTAAAAAATGTACCTGGAGTAATTAAAGGACATTAGTCATTTTTACAGAAATGCTTTTGTCCTGTGTCAAACTTTACCTCCTTTCATAGGACATTGAGTTACTCACATGAGTTAGCATTAAATATCGAAACAAGCTAAGCTACAGGAACTAATAATCTCATGGGAAATTAATTTGGCTCACTTAGGGCTCTGTTGGCATGTGGATAAGAAAGCAGCCAGCACCATTATAAGGAGTGCTTTTAATTTTATATGTAAGTGGGTAACTGAAAGACAGAAAGAAACTGACCTAGAAAATAAAGTGTGTATTAGCCTTGTTCTATAATTTTCTGAGCCTTTGAATAAAGGATATTGATGCCTGTATGAACATTTTATTATTCTGAGTATTATTCATTTACCATTAAGCTTCCCAGTTATAAAACATTTGCTTTCCTTACGCAACACTGTACTTTGCAGGCTGGGAGAAATCGGAAGTGTTTGGCTTTTTATCCCAAAAAGCCATAGAAAGATCATAACTGAATTTCACTTTGATCTTGTCAACTGTACAAGTCTTCTTTAACTGTTAGCTTTATATGATGCTCTTCATTAATATGCTAATGAAATTAAAGCATGCTTTATGTAGAAAATAAACTCAACATGCCAGTGAAGATCTAAGTCTCACTCATCATGTAGAAATCACTTTGCAGTTTCTCCACTTCAGACCAAGCCCTAACTTCTCTGCCCAAACTCCTAGAAATCATCTAACTTGTCTCCCTGTTTCATTTCCACTTCTGCCCTCCTCCTGCCCACCAGCACCCATCCCTTTTCCATACAGCAACCAGACAGATGTTTTAAATTTTCAAGTAAGGTTATATTACTCCACAATTTAGCACTCTCTGCTATGGATTGAATGTTTGTGTCTGTATCCCCAACTTTATATGGTGAAGCCCTAATACCCAATATTTTAGTTTTTGGATGTGGGGCCCTTGGGAGGTAATTAGGTCATGAAGGTAAAGACCCCATGAATGGGATTAGGGTAGTTATAAAGAGAGACCCAAGAGACATGATCTCTCTTGGCCTGGCGAACACAGAGAGAGAAGGCAGCCATCTGCAAAAGAGGAAGAGGGTCCATAACAGAAACGGAATGGGTGGGTACCTTGATCTTGGACTTTTCAGTCCTCAGTACTGTGAGATGTAAATTTCTGTTGTTTAAGCCACCTAGTCCATGCTAATTTGTTATAGCAGCCCAAGCTGATCAAGACACTCTCCAACGACTTTGCATGGTTCTTAAGAATGAAATGGTATCTTCTGACCTTCCTTACAAGGCCCTACATGAGCTGGCCCCTGCCTGTTTGGTCTCTCTCTCTCTTTCTCATTTTGTTCCAGCTGTACTGGCTCTCAAATTCCTTCCACCTTTGCACTTTTTCATTAGCTTGCTCCCTCTGCCTAGAGCATTCTTACTCCAGATACTCATAAGGCTGGCTGCTTCTTGTTTTTCAAATCTAAATTCAAACAGTATCATTCTCAGAGAGGATTCCTTACCATTCAGTATAAAATAACACTCTCAGCAGACCCTAAGTAATTATTCATTACCAAGAACTGTTTTATTTGCTTCAGGGTATTGTGTCACAAACTGAAGTTTTCATATTTGTGGGTTTTTAAATTTTGTTTTCTGTCTTCCCCTACTAGAGGGTAGTTTTTAATAAGTTAATGTATGAAGGACAAATTTAAAATGACTGGTGCTGACTCAAAATTTTTCATTGTTTTATGAGTTAATATCTTAAACAGATTTGTGTTTTCTTTCCAGTGGGCACAAATATCAGACAGGGACAAACTAGAAAATAGAAACTACTCTAACATATTTCAAAAATAGAGGAAATTTAATATAGGGAATTGTTTACAAAATTTATTGAAGAGATGAGAAACCACCACGGAATTTATGAGACAATAGATTAGTATGCACAGGAAGATGTTTCCACCCCTAAAACTAGAGGGTCGAAGGGAAGTAGTCACCAAAACTGAGTTGCTGGAAGGTGTACTTGGTAGGAATTAGAACCAAGAACCCAGAGCCCATCTGTGGGAAATTGAGTTACAGATGAGATGCAGTTAGAAACTCAGCCAAAAGAGAGGTCTCCTCTTCCTGCCTGTAGGTCTTGGCCGGTGCCTTTAATCGGCCAAACTTACCCAGGAAGGCAGAGGGCAAAGGAGCCTGGGGAGTGTAGTTCTCTGGGACACAGAATGGAGCACAGAAGGACAGGGAATACATAGTACTTAATATAGCCTTATAAAATTTGTGCTGGCAAGAAAGCACACTACCACAATCTACAATTTTAAATCTCTTGTAGGAATGCTGTGCTATTTTTATTGCCTCATAAATCCTCTACTATGAAACCTCACCTTATGTATTTTCTTTGCCATATCCTTTCTAAAGGATCTATGAAATCACTGTAAGTAGTTTCAGATTAGCACAATTATACTCTACCATGTGCTCCAGAACCACATCTGCCCTTTATTAACTCAAGAAGTCATCTGTCTATGGCACGCCCTAGCTCAGTGTCTCTCGACAGTTTCAATGATAAAGACCCTTTAGATATACATATTTTTAATTAGAAAGGTAATACATATTTAATGTAGAAAGTTATAAAATAAATAAGAAAAATAATGAAAAAAATGTTTCCACCATCTAGAGATAATTAACCATTTTATGTGTATGTTTCCATATATTTATTTTCACATATATAGATATATATGTAGATATTTATATAGATTAAGATATATATATATATATATATACACACACACACAGTAATACACTCAAAATTAGATAGAGGTTAAATGGAATTCTGTAACACATCTTAATATTGGCTTTAGTTATTAATGANTAGATAGAGATTAAATGGAATTCTGTAACACATCTTAATATTGGCTTTAGTTATTAATGAAACAGAATCACTTCTCTTTATCACTAATTATTAATTCACATAATTATTTTTTGCATAATGTTTAATAGTAAAAGTGAATGTACAGCATTTCACAAATTCCTAACATTTGACATTCAGGTGGTTTTAAATATTTACTATTTTAAATGATAGTGAGATAAAAATCTTTATAAATAAAACATCATGCATGTCTAACTTTATTTTCTTCTATTTCTACATATGGAATGTTTTGGTAAATAATATACAAATTAGGAAGCTGTTAATTGCCAAAGGGCTCTTCATAATTTAATATTGATAGCAATGGGTAAGAATAATTATTTATCCACACCTGCACCACCAGAGCACATTATTATTCATTTTATTCTTTTAAAATCTCTAATATTTAAAAATAAGAGATTCTTCCTCTCCACAGTTCCAGATAACATTAGTTGGACTTTCGGTCTCAGTTACTTTAGAAAATGCATGCACAAACCTTAAGTTTTCAGACCCCTTATAAGGAATGATCTCTCCACAAATGTCCCCATGTCATAACTAAAGACAATCCTTAGAATTGCAACATATCTGTTGAAAATCCCTGTCCTAAAGAATGTAGTAAAACATGGCACTAATATATCCAAACTAAAGATTGTAAGAAAGAAAATTTTTTATAAGACTATAAAACGGGAAATATGTTTAAAGACATACTATGAAGATTTTAGTGAAACACAAATCTCTCTTTCTTTAATACCTTTAATACTCCCATACTCCTGGGATCGATCATGTAGAACCAGAACCGAAGAGTGCACATTCCAAGGCTGGCTGGGAAGTATTGGGAAGTGGTGACTCTTGCAGTGTGTCCTTTGGGACCAGATGAGTTGACATACAGAAAGTGTTGTCCATTACCTTGAAATAGATAAATATAACATTTTTTAGTGAAATGATTTATTTCATAGCATGAAGCAGAATATATTGACACCATGTACTCATTTCATTTTTCCCCAAACACAAACACACACTTAAACACAATTAGTTAAGAGGTTGGGAATGATGGCTTATAAGCCCCTTAACTGCTAGACACTGAAACTGGAAGTTTTTAAAAATAGCACTTACTGAAAATATTTCTCTTCACTTAGAAAATTTATAGTCTGGAAATTTTTTAAAAAAATCTGCATCATGAAAAATAACTAAGGAACATGACATGTAAGTGATTACAGCAAGATTTTCCTCAATATAAAGAGCACTAGTAGAAACAACTTGAGAAGTTTCTCCACTGCATCAATGGACTGTGCATTTAAACTACACTTTAAGGAGCAAACTTTAAAATATCACTCTTAATAAGGAAAACATGGTATAACCCAATTAGCTATAATAACTTTCCTTATATAGCCAAGACTTAATTTTAAGTATGGAATCTATTCATTCTACAGGGTGTCCCCCAAAAATGTGTACACACTTTAACAGCCGATAGCTCAATTTTGAAAATGAAGTGTATTTTAATAAACACTGCCTTTATAATTATTCAAAGTGTGTGTATACATTTTGGGGTCACCCTATATACTGGATGTGAATAAACAGCCCTAATCTAGTTCTAAATATGATAAATTAATGTTAAGTATATTTGTATTGAAATATTTTATGTTTTGTAGCTCAATTCAAATAGTATGCCATATATAATGAAAACCAATATACTTCTGTCTCAAAAGCAGATCATGTTTAACTCAGACTTTAAATGTATGGTTTTTTTCATGCTTTAGCACTAACTTGAGGTTAAAAGTCAAATATCTAGAGCAGTAGGAAAGAAAGTAATTGTGTTCATTGACACAAATTTAATCTGTTTTACAAAGTTGGGAATTCTGATTTAAAACCTTGTATTTCTGTAAGTTTATTCCCCTAACTGCATAAACACATTAAAATACATTAGTTCAGATGTCACTTTTGAATAACTTTCATCATATATGTTTGTCTTTAAAAGGTAACTTTTAAGTTTGTACTGCGACCTGAGTTTAGTCCAAGGTCTCCATTCTTCCCCGTTGCCTTTAGGTTCCTAATGTAACTCCGGTCACCGTGTCCTTAGTGTCTCTGTAATATTTTCATGGCAGCCCACGTGGGAGGCACTATTTTAGTTTTGTTTATTAAAAACTTAAGTCCAAACAACTTAATATGCATTAATATTTTAATACTATTGCAGGCACCTAAGAAACTAATACACACAAATAGAAAAAAATGTATTCTTTTTTCCGATAATTTATTTCAATTACAGATAACATTAAATATTATATTAGTTTCAGGCGTACATAGTGGTTAGACATTTATATAATTCATGAAGTGACCCTTCCCATAAGTCTTGTACCCTCCTGGCACCATACACAGTTATTACAATATTATTGACTATATTCCCTATGCTGTACTTTATATCACCGCATCTATTCTGTAACCGCCAATTTGTACTTAATCCTGTCACCTTTTACATCCAGTCCCCCAACACTCTTCCCATCTGGCAACCATCAGTTTGTTCTCTATGAGTCAGTTTCTGTTTTGTTTGTTCATTTATTTTAGTTTCTAGAGTCCACACACAACTGAAATCATATGGTATTTGCCTCTTTCTGTCTGACTTATTTCATTTAGCGTAATACCTTCTAGGGTCATCCGTGCTGTTGCAAATGGTAAAATTTCATTCTTTTTTATGGCTGAATAATATTACATTGTGTATATGGAGCACATTGTCTTTATTTAATCGTCTATTGATGGACACTTGGGTTGGTTCCATATCAAGGTTATTGTAAACAATGCTGCAATAAACACAGGGATGCGTATATCTTTTCAAATTAGTGTTTTGGATTTTTTCAGATAAATACCCAGAAGTGGAACTGCTGGATCATAATGTAGTGCTTTTTAAATTTTTTGAGGAAACTCCATACTCTTTTCCATGGTGGCTGCAACAGTGCACAAGAGTTCCCTTTTCTCCACATTCTCACCAACACTTGTTTGTTGATTGATGATAGTCATTCTGCTAAGTGTGAGGTGATATCTCATTGTGGTTTTAATTTGCACTTCTCTGATGATTCGTGACATTAGGCATCCTTTCATATGTCTTTTGGCATTCTATATGTTCCATCTGGAGAAATATCTATTCAGGTCCTTTGCTCATTTCTTAACTGGAGTGGTTCTTTTTATTATGTTAAGTTGTCTGAGTTCTTTATAATTTTGGATATTAGCCTTTTATTGAATGTATAGTTGGCAAATACCTTCCACCATTAAATAGGTTGACTTTCCATTTTGTTGATGGTTTCCTCTGCTGTGCAAAACCTTTTTAGTTTGATGTAGTCCCATTTGTTTATTTTTCCTTTTGTTTCCCTTGCCCTAGGAGATGTATTAGAAAAATATTGCTACAATAAATGGCCGAGATATTACTGCCTATGTTTTTTTACGGTATCGAGTGTAACATTTAAGTCTTTAATCCATTTAGAGTTTATTCTTGTGTATGGTGTAAGAAGGTGGCTTATTTTCATGCACCTGTCCAGTTTTTCCAACACCAATTTTTGAAGAGACTATCTTTTTCTCACTGTATATTCTTGCCTTCCTTGTCATAGATTAATTGACCATATAGGTGTAGGTTTATTTCTGGGTTCTTTATTCTGTTCCATTGATGTAAGTGTCTGTTTTTATGCCACTACCATACTGTTTTGATTAGTGTAGCCTTGTAGTGTAGTTTGATATCAGGTATTGTGCTACCTGCAACTTTGCTGTTTTTCAAGATTGCTTTGGCTACTCAGGGTCTTTTGAGGTTCCATATAAATTTTAGGATTATTTGTTCCAGTTCTGTGAAAAATGCCACTGGTATTTTAATAGGGATTAGATTGAATTGCTTTGGATATTATAAACATTTTAATGATGCTGTAATTCTTCTTATTCATGAGCAGAAGATAGTCTTACATTTATTTGTATCTTCTTCAATTTCTTTCTGAAATGTGTTATAATTTTCTGAGTACAGTTATTTTATCTCCTTGGTTAAATTTATTCCTAGGGTGTGTGTTTTTGATGCAATTGTAAATGGCATTGTTTTCTTAATTTCTCTTTCTGATAGTTCATTATTGGTGTATTAAAATCCAACCGAATTCTGAATTATTTTTATATTCTGTTACTTTACTGAACTCACTTATCAGTTCTAATAAATTTTTTTGGTGGAATCTTTAGAATTCTCTCTATATAGTATCATGTCATATGCAAATAATGACAATTTTTTTTCTTCCATTCCAATTTAAATGCCTTTATTTTTTCTTGCTGAATTGTTAGGGTTAGGATTTGCAATACTAAAAGTGATGAAAGTGAACAACCTTGTCTTGTTCCTGATTTTAAGTAAAACACTTCATTTTTCCTTGTTGACTCTGATGTAAACTGTGCATTTGTCATATATGGACTTTATTATGTTGAGGTATGTTCCTGCCATTCCCACTTTGCTGAGCATTTTTATTATAAATAGGTGCTGGATTTTGTCAAATGCTTTCCTGTATCTATTGTTATGATGATGTGATTTTTATCATTCATTTGGTTTATGTGGTGTATCACATTAATTGATTTTTCTGTACTAATCCAACCTTGCATCCTGGGAATAAGTGCCACCTGATCATGGTGTTTGATATTTTTAACATATTGCTGAATTAGGTTTGCTAATATTTTGTTGAGGATTTTTACATCTATGTTCATCAGGGATATTGGCCTATAATTTTCTTTTCCTTTTTTTAAAAAAAATATATTTTTATTGATTTTTAGCGAGAGAGGAAGGAAAAGGGAGAGAAAGAGAGAAACATCAATTGGCTGCCTCCCTCATGCACCCTGACCAGGGTCACAACCTGGGCATGTGACCAGACCAGGAGTTGAACTGACAACCTTTCAGTACACGGGATGCTCAACCAACTGAGCCATACTGGCCAGGGCTAATTTTCTTTTTTTGTAATGTCTTTGTCTGGTTTTGAAATCAGAGTAAAGCTGGCCTTGTAAAATAAGCTTGGAAGCCTTGGTTCCTCTTGAATTTTTTGGAGTAGTTTGAGGTTAGTTGTTAATTGTACTTTGAATGTTTGGTAAAATTCACCTGTGAAGCCATCTAATTCAAGACTTTTTTCGGCGAGGAGTTTTTAAATTACTGATTCTATTTAGTTAGTAGTTATCGGTCTATTCAGACATTTTGTTTCTTCTTGACTCAGTCATGGAAGACTGTATGTTTCTAGCAATTTGTCCATTTCTCCCAGATTGTTCAATTTGTTGGCAAATTTATTTTGTATGTAAATAGCCACAGTTACTTTCTACTGGAGAGTAAGACTATTAAACACTGACCAGTTTCTCAAATCTTGAAATGGATTAAACTTCTTCACTTCCTATTCCAAATTTCCTATATTTATTTTCCCCAGTATTTACTTTTATTATAGCAACTACTAAAAACAAGTTTAGCAAAGATATGATATTGTGNTTCATATTTATTTTCCCCAGTATTTACTTTTATTATAGCAACTACTAAAAACAAGTTTAGCAAAGATATGATATTGTGAGGAATGTAGGATAATCTAATATTTGCATTTTACGACTATATGATGAAATTTAATTTTAAAATATATATAATCCACTATGTATAATAATAACCCATAATTTCACTGAAGCATATCTATATCAATAAAAGACAGACAATGTTATGTATCAAAGCTAGCAATTCCAATTATTAGTTAGGGGACTCTGGGTGAGTTTTCAAAATATAACCCACCTAACCCCCTCTAATTTGCTTATTTAACTTTGGTCTTATAAAATCCTGCACCTAAACACAAAAACCAGAAACGCTGCTTAACCTTTTGAAAGTATTAATAGATATATATATGAATTATCCAGGAACTATGTACTGTATCACAAATTTATAA